TGTATCATTTACAGTAGTTTTCATTTGATGCATTAAGTACCTTTAGAACAAATCAGAAATTGTTAGATCTAAGTGATCATCACAAATATGAATGGCTTTCTCAGACACAGTATGATAATATGAGTTGTAAAATTTAGTGCACAGCCTGCAGTTTCAACTGAGTAGGAATATTTAGTTGTAGGTGATGTCATGCATGGTAATTTGGGTTTTTCTTACTTTTTTAGGCATACCTTATCTACTAGCACTGTAATCATAACCAGTAAAGGCAAAAAAGTCATGTAAAAAAAGGAAGAATATCACTTATGATGATCGTGTTACTCTTGTTACTGTGGTGACCAATAAAGGCCTTAACAGTTGTGAAACATGTTATAGGCCGATCTCTAAAATATGCTGAGATTGAAGGTGAAGGCATGCTAATGTAAGGATTTACATGATAGAAACCTGATTTCTCAGATTTTCATTTTGTGTAATAGGAGTAGTGTGCCAGAATCTAATTTATTACAAAGAAAAATGTGTTCATAAAGGGGCCAACCTTTCTATGCAAAATTAATTTTTGTTGTAAATGTACCTTATAAAATTGGCTTTTCTTCTGAGCTGATGTTTCAAGACACTATCCGTTCCCTACACTAAAGTGAAATTTAGCGGCCTCCATAGTCTAGAGGTAACGTTCCCACCTCATGACTTGTAGTACGCGGGTTCAAATACCCGGCGGAGGTCGTCGAATTTTTAAGGGCAGAAAAATTCAGGGAACAAGTCCTCCGGGAGGGACTTTAAGCCGTGGGTCCCGTGTCGTAGCTTTACGGCACGTAAAAGAACCTCATATCTCCAAAGNTTTGAGCTACACTCTGATTGTAAGTTATGTGTGTTAGACAGGATTCTTTCCAGTCAGGATGAATTCATATTTTGATGAGTTCCAGAACACTTGGCTATCAACCAAAACATTCTACAGCCAAATCCATGGTTACCATCAGTGCATTTAATTCCATACTGGAGCAGAAATGGATAATAATTTACTAACATCCAGTACTTATGATGACGACAATAATTTCCCTTACTCCAAATTGTGCATTGATATTGGTCCCAGTAGAGTGTGTTGCAGGACTGATACAGGCTGTCACCATATGATACACCGATCTGATGGATTCATGGAGGAATTTACAGGACAGTTCCATGTTTCAGAAAATTCTGGTGAATTGGACAGTGAACCAAGAACTCGGTACTTTCCTGGACTGTGTGTATCCTCAGCAGATACTTCACCATAATATGGCCCTTCATCCAGGCACCAAATCTGTAGGGAAAAGCCAATAAACTTACAGATACACTTTGAGTAAGTAACAAGTAGTCAAAGAACTTGCTCCACAAATTTGCACTTTTGGACTCATAATGGTGGCTGTGGTTACATTACTGATGTACAATGAGTGAACAGAGTTATTTTGGCTCCCAGATGAATCACAGTACCTGTCTACCTACCATAAACCTTGCACAATATCCTGGACCCCTCATATGCCACAGATACCAGACCATATCTATAGTTACTTGTTCATCAATTCAGTTAAGTTACTATTGTGTGCTGTTTTTATTAAATGAATAGCGAAGGTTATTACATAATTGAGAATACTGTGGTTTGTACAGCTGAGGACAGTACATTTTGTACAATACTGAAGTCAGGGAGGTTAAGATAAGCTTGATATGCAGCAAGGAGGGGAGATATAAAATACAATTTAATAAGAAACGTTTTTTAAATGGTACCTTGGAAGATGGACACAATGAGAGTTACTGGCTATTGTGAATACAGAGCACTTCCACAAATACATTTATGGACAAGAATTCCACCTGTGAACTGAACACCAATTCACTGAACATGACACGAACCAGCTTGGTTTACGTATTCCAATAGAATCTTATCAAACTAACTATAAATATTTTAAAGTATTGGAACAGCCACTGTAGTTGTAAAGACTTTAAATTTTACAACCAATTGTATATTGTTTATGTTGTATGTATATATTTTAACTTTTAGAACATGTACTGTAATGGTGGCTTCTAACAGTATTCATGTAAAGGTGTCCCTCTGAAGATGGTCTCTGAAGACCAAACATGTAAGGGCGTGAATAATTGAATTGGGAAAATCTTAACCAGTCGCACTGGGCAGAACTATTTAACTTTTTCAGGAGAAATAAATACTGATAAAATATTTTCATCATACCTTTGACTGTCCAGTAGGCCAAGTAAAAATGATTGCATGAAGACAAGAAAAAAGAGAATACTCACATTTGCAAAGGCTAAGAACAGCAGTTGATTATGTGAGAAGCTCTCCATCCCTGGCAGGACCTGTTCTGTATCATGACGTTCTTTATATCTCTGATATGCTCTGTATGCTTCTCTTATGCCTCCATTATCTGCTATGTTTTCTGCTAGTGTACTAAATCCATTAACCTGCAGGAATTCCAATCCACAGTTATATCAATGTGAGATGTGATATTTAAATTTTTATTTATTTTGTCTGTTATCTTGCATTAATGTTAACTTACAGCTTTTACTCTAAGAAACATAAAATTAAAGAACATTTTGACTTAAGAGACTGAGAGTAATTTGAGTATGAAGAAAAATAGCTTCATAACTTGTCCCTTCATCTAATGTGCTTAAGGTAAATGAGTGAAGTGAGCACATGTACTTGGAAGGCCCATATATCCCAACTCATACCTAAGTTGTGTAAGGCGTGTTATTCAATGAGGGTTATTAAGCCCATCATGCCTACTGAAACATTAAAAATGATTTACTATTCTTATTTTCATTCACTTTTAACCTATGGAATTATCTTTTGGGGCAATACCTCGTTTAGTGTACAAATTTTTAGAATTCAAAAAAGAATAATTAGAATTATGAGTGGGCTAAGAGCAAGGGATTCCTGTAGACAAGCATTTAGGGATTGGGGGATTTTGCCACTCCAGTCCCAATATATATTTTCTTTATTGATATTTGTTGTAAATAATAAGGGTCTATTCCATACATCAACACAGATTCATGGTCTCAATACAAGGCGCGGTTTAGATTTATATTGCCCTCAGACAAATTTAACAGTTCATCAGAAGGGTCCTTATTGCTATGGAATTAAACTTTTTAATTGTCTCCCATTAAAAATAAAGGAAGTAGTACATGATAATAAGGTATTTAGAGTGGCCTTAAATGCCTTTTTACATTCAAAATCCTTTTATACTTTGGATGAATATTTTGGTTGTATAAATGAGTAGTAATTTACTATGTTCATTCAATATTGCATGCATTGTTTGGATGTGCAGTTGTACATTCAAGGATATTGCACTGATACCTGCATTGTATATAGCAAGCTTATACCTTGACTGGTTTTATTTGGTATTGAACATGTAAGATATAATCGCCAACTTGACTGGTATGCCATGTAACAAACATACCTCATTATAGTTGATGGATGTTGTGATCTTTTATGGTTTGAGATATATAAGCTACTAAGTTGAATGAATTTATTATGTAATGTGTTTTTATTACAATTTTAACTTATTTTATTTACAATTAAACATGGTATAGTGTTATGTATATTTTAGGTTGATGTATATTTTATGTTGACTAGTTCCATTGTTGGAGCATTTGTTGAAGATATTTGACTTGTTCTGTGTCCAGTGGTGTTGGCCTGTAATTGGATTTGTTTGAATGCAATAAATACTATACTATACTATACTGGGCCATATAGGTAAAGGTAAAATTGTCCCTGTGCTTACTTAGTTCAGCACTATGCCATGAAGACATATAAAGAAGGGAGGGAGGGGGGAGGTATAGCTCCATTTTTCTTGATCTTGGCACTAGATGGAGGTGAGTGGTCAGCTTTATACCCCTCCCACTTTACCCACAGGGAAAGAGGCCTGGATGTCCATTGGATAGGAGGCTGGGTGGTCTCCAGATTCGGTCTGGATGCTGTGTAGAAAAGAAAAATCTTGCATGCTGGGAATCAAAACCAGGCCATACAACCCAAAGCCCGTCACTATACCAAATGAGTTATCCTGATTCCAGGCCATATAGAGTGTTATATTCTATTCGCTGAATCATGCCAGCTGATCACAAAATGAAAATGATGAATCCAGTCTCATAAATTTTTTATTAAAAACTTAAGTGAACACATTATTAAAATTAGCATGTTCAAAATTTAACATGTCATGTGTATGAAATAGTCTGCTGAATCCAGAATCTGGAGTACAGCATGTATGAATTGTCTGCATGCTACAACAGACAAATGAACTACACTGAAAGTGAGAATAATGTACTGCTGTGACTTATCAGTATCTCTAGACTTTAGATAAGTGGGTTATGAAAGTGAAATATGTATATCTTCTTCACAGCACTAATCTGTCATGAAGGAATGGTGAATGTTCAGAGATTTGTACACTCTTGTAAAAGATGAAAGAATTTGCTAACTATGGATTCATCCCATGACAATAAATGTTTTAAGAAAGTTGCCATTATATCTTCCCTTTTCTTCAGATTTCAACAGACTCCATGCATCAATGTCCACGATGCGAGAGAACAGTTACTCGACTATAAATGAAACTCTCTGCCATTTATGGATATAGAAAGCTCGGTAACATATCTGTTCACAAGAGCCTGTAATTCAGATTCTTCATCCTTTTACATTCACACGATGAATACCCTCTTTTTCTTCAGAGTAAAAGGACACGATTTTCAGAATTTAAGCCATCAATCTTGCTGCATTCATGTATTCAATTCTGGTTTAACATTAAAAGTCAGACTCCACCAACATAAAGTTATACTTCTATTGATGTATTCTACTGTGTATTATAATATTTGTAAATTATTACATTCAGCTGTCTGCAGGAAAAAAAATGTGTTATTTTAATTTATTTAATAATTATAGCAATATGTCCAACAATTCGTTGTTGTCTTTAAACTTCTGCAATATGTTTAATGAATGTATTACCACATAATTTATAATTTAAGTACATAAACAATACTTCTTTATGATTTATAAATTATTCTGTTTAGTGTTAGCCTAAACTGGGTTCTACCAAAGATTATATCAGTTGATTAAAATATATTAGAAGATTCCTGTCTTCTCGTATGTTATGCCATACACTTAGAGGGATAGAAAGGTTTTGGAGGAACATTTTGCCTCCATCTTCGATGTAGAACTATGGGTTATCATATCCTAGAAAAGAGTAATTTTTATGATAACCACCACAAGAACCTCAAATTTCACATTGTATTTATAACTGAGAAAATGGATAGATTGATCAATTAATTATGTAACTGAACTGTCTATTTAATTTAATATTCTCTAAGAGAATACTTTACTTTAAGTTGACCATATATAATTAAATTATTAATTAATACCAGTTTATGAATCTTGAACACCTGTGTCTCATTTTTAACTTCATATAGTCTATCTCATAATTTTTACTCTCTTAATCAACTAATTTGTTTGACATTAGGAAGATATTAGGCACAGAACTATATAAAATTATAAAAAGTATTTAGTTATAATACAAATCTCAGTTATTAGTTGTCCAGAAATTCTCTCATTAAAGACAACAGTATGGCCCAAAGATGGCAGTGAATTACTGAAACATGACTCCGTAGTTACTAGGTATATGGAAATATATGTAATGGCTCATTAGTTGCTATGTAGAGCGCTTAGTGTAGTCATCTACAGATAAACTAGCTTTCATAAAACAGTGACATCTTTATAATATAGACAGATATGTGCATAATCAGTCCATTTTACCGCATGAAGAAACATGAGAATTTTTAAGATCAGAATCCAGGATTTTAACATTCATATTTGTTTCACTGGAAGTGGATAGAAAGTGTTGTACACTGTACCTTTTTGCCATTTGTGCCATATTTACTATACTGGTGTACAAAACACTGTGCCCTCTCTTCATAGGCCTGCAACATGTCCATATTCCACCAGGACACCTTGGTTCCATCTTTACCATAATTCTTGCCTAAAAGAGAATAACATAGCACGAAGGACTAAGGGAATGTAGTATGGAATACATACAGACTTCAAATTTTGATTTTTGATTTAAGTTTGTTCATTAAATATAGATTTAATATTATGACTATCACATTTCTGGTAATACAGATGTATTCTGTTTATCTGAAATAATTTTTGATATGGCCAATATTTAACTAAATTATAGGGGAAAATCTGACCATTATCAGTGTGGTATCTGTAGTGACTAGCTTTACAATAATTGTCATGTAACTGCAGTAAATGAACATCAGAGTTTATGAAATATGAAAAAGTGTACAGGACACATCTGGAAAATATGTGTACTCAAAGTTGCAGTATGTCTTTCCAGTTCCGTTTCTTCGTGGTGCTGAGCTTTCCCAAAATGTCCCAAGATTTTTCAGTCACAGGAAAACTTTGCAGGACTCTTTAAACTGTGTTTGTTCATAGGAGGATAGCCCATGCGTGAATCTCTCAAATTTTTAGGGCAACTGTTGTGACAAATAGGATGACTGGAAGAGATGAATAATGCAAAATGTATCCATGCTTTCAGCAGGATAAGATGAGGGATCCTAGCATTCTCTTAGCCCAAGTCTGCAGGAATTCTGATGTCAACTATATAGTTCCTCACTGAAGATAATCATGTTCCCTTGGTAAGAATACATTTCATGTCATATTCAAAATGTGTGATATAAAATTTGGTAACTTTACCTTCAATGTCAAAGCCATGAGTCAGTTCATGTCCCAGTATGCTTCCAATTGATCCGTAGTTAAGAGCCCTGAAACACAGACAAAGATCAGTCATCTGATAGAATATATGGAAACTTCTTTCATTGTAAAATCTGTCTAGAACATAATCTAGATCAAAAGAAATCTTGTCTTTTCTGAAAATTCATGTGTCTAAAGACTAGAGATTAGCAACTAATGTAAAATACACTTATTTCTGATTTCTTGGATATGAATTCTTAATCATGTGTGGGGGATGAGTAATGTATTCATGTACTCTTGGGCAGCATTGCTGGAATTCATGAATTTTAAAGCCCTTTCTCTGAAAGAAGTGTTCAGCTAAAGATGGATAATATGAAAGAATTAAGCTACAGCTGATACTACTAAGGTCATTAAATCAAAGACAGCTAAGTTGGAGGGACATATTGCACGTATGGGGAAATAATAAGTACTATAAAATTTTAGTTGGAAAACCTTAAGTGATGAGAAACTTATGAGACCAGATGCAGGCAGATGGTTTGTACTGAAATTTATATTGCAGTAATGATGTATGAGGATGTGGACTGAATATCATTTGCTCATGACAGGGCCAGATGTTGTGCTTTGGCAAGCATGGTAATTATCACTTGAGTTCCATAAAAGTAGGCAACTTCTTTTTACTGGTTAAGCAATAAAAGTTTTTCAAGATACCCCTTGCACAATTGAATTAAATCTGCAATAAATAAACATCAAGCACATGGAGGACTACAAATGCCCAAAAAAGGTTTGAAATATATGAATAGAAAATTGAAGAACATCTTTCCATTCCTTCACCTTCCTGCAGTACTACACATAAAATCCTTCCCATGATCATTGACTAGGCAGAATTAGCAATATAGCATTATTATATATAAGTTTATAAAATTAATGCGTAATGGGAAGGTTGTGTCTGTCTGCTTATATAATTCAACTCTAGAATTCTTGTACTGATTTTGAATAAATTTGTCATTTTGATTCCACACTAAGTGTCAAGCTAACTCTGTTTCAGTTCGAACCTGTTATAACCTCTACCTTACATGAACTTTGTTTAATTTCTCAGGAGTTAACATTTCCAATATTATTAAAGTCCAGTGCAGTACTTACTCCAAACCCCTGTCATAGAAGGGAAACTGAAGGATGCCAGCTGGGATTACTGAAACACAAAACATAAAATTTTGTGCAGAGGACACCACACTGAAAGTCACATCACACTGCTCCTCTAGACTTAACCTGACTCCTATTACCATAACCATAAGAAGCCCACATCAGAATTTTATATATTTATATTTTAAGATGAGATGTCTCATGGCAACAACAGTAATTACCTCTTCTATGCTAACTTCCTTGCAAAGCCTCCCTTCTTCTCTAATGAAATCTGTGTACCTGAAAAGGTATGGATAGTTAGATTCCATCTCGTGTATGGCATGGATACCGTTAAGCAGCTTTCTGTTACTAAATGATATTGCTGCAGTTGTTGATAAACACATGAGACAGTACATCAGCTATTCATGGACTTCAAGAAAGCCTATGATTCAGTTGGGAGGGAAGTATTGTACAACATTCTCATAGAGTTTGGGGCACCCATGAAAGTAGTTGGGCTGATTAAAATGTGGTTAAATGAAAGGTATAGTAAAGTTTGTGTAGGTAAATATTTGTGTGATAATTTCCTATCCACAATTGTCTGATATAAGGAGCTGTTTTATTGCCCCTGCTTTTCAACTTTGCTTTAGAGTATGCCATTTGGAAGGTCCAGTAAAACCAGGTAGGACTGAAATTAAATGGGACACATCAGCTGCTGGTCTGTGCTGATGATGTGAATCTACTGGATGATAATATAAATACCATAAAGAAAAGCACAGAAATTTTAATTGATGCTAGTAAGGAGGTTGATCTAGCAGTAAACATAGAGAAAACTAAGTGTATGTTACTGTCTTGTTACCAGAATCCAGAACAAAGTCATGACATACAAATAGCTGACAGATCCTTTGAAACTGTGGCACAGTTCAGATATTTGAGAATGACAGTAACAGATCAAAGTCTGATTCAGGAGGAGATTAAGAGGAGATTGAATTCTGGTAATGCTTGCTACCATTCAGTCCAGTGCCATTTGTCTTCTTGTCTGCTGTCTAAAAACATAGAATTAGAATATACAGAACTATAATTTTGCCTGTGGTTTTGTATGGGTGTGAAACTTGTTCTGTCATCAAGGGAGGAATATAGACTGAGGGTGTTTGTGAACAGGGTGTTCAGTAGAATATTTGGACTTAAGAGAGATGAAGTTACAGGAGGTTGGAGAAAAATACGTTATGAGGAGCTTCATAACTTGTACTGTTTGCCAAGTATAATTAGATTGATCAAGTCAAGGAAAAGAGATGTGCAGGACATGTAGCATGATTGGGGGAGAAGAGGTATACATGTATGATATTGATGGGAATTCAGAAGAAAAGACACAACTAGAAAGAGCAAGATATAGGTGTGTGGACAATATTAAAATGGATCTTAGAGAGATAGGATGGGATGGGATGGTATGGACTGGATCTTTCTGGCTCAGTAAAGGGACAAGTGGAGGGCTCTTGTGAATGCAGTCATCAATATTCGGATTCATTAAAATGCCGGGAAGTAGAGTAGATATACAATTGGCGGCTACTCAAGAAGGGCTCAGCTCCTAGAGTGAGTGAGCTGATAAAACACATTTGCTTGCTGTGACATTAAGTGCACAATTTAACCCAGAAGCCAATGCCTTTTCACTAAGGAATTATGCCAGAAGAAATGTACCATTTAACAGTTTACCATCATACTTTAATTTTTCTTAAAATAAAATTCAGAATGTCTTATGATGCATATGTCCATCAGTTGCAGTACAAGATGGTGATCTATGTTCTGTGTCAGTCAATGCACAGATACAGATTCAGTTTGTAACCAAAATGTTTACTTGTTGATGTCCTTCTGCTCTTCAGTCTTTTCTCCATGTGAATGTGGTACTGTTGCAAGTGTTTCAGAGGTACATGCTGTCTCCATCTTCAGGGTGAAGGTCAGCATGGTGAGTCAGTGTTCTCATCCAACACACCCATGCTGAAATGGGTGACCCATCTGAGCCAATAGGGACAGTGGACAAAGAAAAGTTGTAAAATTGGCCATTTTATAACTTTTCCCTCTGCCCAGTCCCTACTGGCCAGAATGAGACATCAGTTCTTATCCTTTCTACATTTGAATGCATGACCAAGACCAAGATATACATGAAAATTTTACTCACCATAGTCACTTTGATCCAAAGACTGAGGCAGCGTGTACCCATAAAATGTCAGCAACACTGTCCACATGCACACAATGAAAAGATCTAAGAGCAGATTCAACATGAAGAATGAAACACCACAAAAGCCAAAAATCATAATACCTAATAATTATATACAAATGCAGACTTAGTTTTGAGTGTTGACAAACAAGTCCAAATACTCATTCAGCATTGAAGTTGTTTGTTTTATATCTTGCATCAAAATAAATTCCTTCTAATTGTCACCACAATTTGCACACTCATTTTTTGTGACAAAATATCCAAAATACGGCTGAAACAAAATGAAGGGCTTCCAGGGCACTGGGAGCAGTTCTAAATAGAATCATTTCAATGACCTTTCTCATAGCAAGCTTTGTAATACATCCTCAATGATTTGTCTTTGTCACTTGTTTTGCACTTTGCTGGTAGATGATTTGTTGCCTTAGGTGACTTAGATTGCTTTGTTGGATTAATATATGATGATGACAGGAACCAAACAATAAAAAGTAAACAACTGTAAAATTAAAGTTTGTCTTCAGAACAGCTGCAGTGAAAGTTGTGTGCATTCAGTATCATCTTTAGAAGTACTATTTTCTTGTACCACATAACTGTTTTCCTGTCTCAAGGGTAATATGAAACCATTTGATCTTGGCAATGATCACATAATATGTAATTTGCTGTATTGTTGTATTTCTTTCTAGTGTCTTCATTGTCTGATCTCTCTTGTTAGTTCCCTCACCTTTGTCTTAAGTAAACGCTAAGGTTTACTCAGTAGATCCTCAAAATTTGTAACTAAGGCTTTGCATGTACTTTTCATTCTCACATGCATGCTACATGTTCCTCTCCTACAGTCCTTAACCTAATTTACCTAACAACATTTAATGAAGCATAGGAAGTTATTGATTAGGTAATTTTTATCAGTTACTTCCTCTTTCTTGGGTCCAAATATTTTGCTCTTGTCTTTATTCTCATACCTTGTCTATAGTACTTGCTTTGAATGAGATTCCAATATTCACACCCATATTGAACAGAAAATGTAAATGCAGAACATTACACAAAGTGCATATATACACTCACTTATTGCATTTGCCGTGCGACTGTAGTATGCATTCACCTGAAGTGGATCAATGTCCTTCCAACTGGCAGCATGTGAAAAGTAACATGGTTCATTCTTTCATGCAGAACTTATATTAAAATATTTTCCAACACATATTATGCAACAAAATTTATTGTTGAGACTGTGGTGCTACCATTTTACACTAAGTTCAACATTACTGAAAGCACTCTCTCTCTCTCTATTCATTCCATGGCTTGTAAATGAAACAGTTTGGGAAAATTATGTCCAGATTATATTTTTTTCAAATTATGCCAAATATTAGTTAATTCAGTAGTAAAACAGAGATGCAGAAGTGGGGAGAGGCAGAATACGCAAGAAATTTGAGGCCCTTATGTAAATATACATGGTTTTACAAAAGAAAATACTGGGAAACTTATGGAACCTAAACACTAGATTCCAGAGATTACTACCTGTATGAAGAGATGGACAGATCATATGGATAGAATGGATGAAGATAGTGTTGAATTATAAACCTAATGGGTAAAGAGTAAGAAAAAGAATAGCATGCTGAGAAAAATAATTATGAGATTTATATGATCCTTAAACTTCCTGGTAATAAGTAGAAGATGAATCTTAGGTTTGTTATGTAATATTAAGCTCAGCCCCAAAATTTTAGTCTACCACGTACAGCTCTTACCACTTCCTCTGCGAATTGTGTAATGTCATGTGATTACTCTGTGAATTAGTAGTAAACCCAAATTATCATTGGTTCTGTTCTTTTTCATAAATGTTAACTTCTTAAACATTTGGGTATTCACAGCTCTGTTGAACGAATGGTTCATCAGTTGGTTATAGCACAAATCCTCATTACCTTGTTATTGGTTGTATGGGAATTATTAGCCAAGGAATAAAACAGAGTCTGGTACTAGGCTCACCTTTCATTTCTCTGGTTCTCAGGCTTATCAAAGAGTAATTTCAGGAAGTCGTGCACTTCCTTTGACTTAATCCTGAGGATGCTCCACAAGTACTCATTTCCTTGTAGATCCAGCTGGTCACACACACAGATAAAACATAATTAACACTGTCTATCAAATGTATGAAATATCTTACTATAAAGACTATCCTGGTCTAAACTCATTTGAGATTTGATAAGATCAATGAAGAAATAGTATTAGTATTTTTCTGTTTCTAAATAGTTAAAGCTAAGCATTTATGGCTCTCAAATAGTACAAATTATGTCACCACAGGAACATAATTATGGAAGAAGTTTTTTCTACTAAATTCCTAGAACAGAAAAGTTATTTTTTAATTATCAGTACTATGTTAATATCCATGTAGTTCATATAAAGTTCACAACTAATGTTTATAAAATGTGCAAGAAATCTTGTTCTGTGTGGGAAGAGAGCCCTTGGGAACTTAAAGTTAAATGTATTATACTGAAGTGTCTCAGGACAAGGGCAGATGTTGGGCTCTTTTGATCATGATAATGAATACTTTGATTCTGTAGCAGATCTATCTGGGCAGCTAAACAACAATGTATTTCTCACTAAAAAAACCATGCACTATGCAGTTAGTTATGAAAAATGTTATTTTAATTAATGCTGTAAGGAAATTCATCATTATTATGTCAGTACATTTGTCCATAGCCTGAGGTGCATTTAATTTGGAAGGTATTTCTGTAGTTAACTTTACTGTCATTTTCTGGTGTCTGGTTGTCATTAAATTAGATACAATTTTTTTTTTTGCAATTTTTAGAACTCCCAAAATGTTGTGATTTAATGTAGCAGCTAGCATGATACTGCACTAAACATACAAAACTGTAGTACTCATCCAGTTGGCCAGGTTGAAGGAGCCATTCTTGATAGCCAATGAAGCTAGTAATGCCTTCTGCTTTCTCTTGAGCTGCTTTCTTAGTTACAGGGTCGATCCAGTCTCCATCATGGACCAGGGAGTTGAAACTGGCTTTGATATCATTCATCATTTCTGACACCTGCACATAAACATTCTATGTCCATCAAATTCAGTATTTGAATCAACAATACCTCTAGGATGGGGGAAAAAGAAATCAGAGGAAGAAAGAGGAGAGAGGAAAAGACAGAGAGAGACAATAGGAAAAACAAAATGTAAGAAAGGAAGGAAGAAGGAAGTAAAAAAAAAATAATTAATTAAGGTGAAAAGAATAAAAGAAAGGAAGAAACAAAGAAATAAGTAAATCGAGGAAGAGAGAAGGGAAGACAAAAGCCAGAAAGAAATATGAGGAAAGAGAGGGAGAGAGAAAGAGAGGAATAACTGTTTACATATGTAAGAGGAATCTGTTAATTTGGTTAGGAATCCTAGAAAGAAATGCACATTTCTTAAGTAACAATAAATTAAACTATATTAAATTGCATAGAATGATAAATATACAATATCACAGAAAAAATTGTTCTTTCATCCTCTGTTCTTTATTTGCCGAATAAATTCTTTCAGAATTCTATTTATTTATTTCATCCAAAATACTTAAAAAAAAAAAAAACAGGTTTGAAAGTTACACGTTTCCATCTGTGCTCAGTGCATAATGAATCTACCGCAGTTAGGATGATTATAGCTACATATTCCTTTAAGTGACCATCATAAAGTCATGTAATCCTTCCATCATACTGCTAATGTGATCTGCTACCATATATTAGTTTGTTGTGACAGAACTAGTGCTAGGCAAGAGCTCAGCCCGTTGATTCATGTGGATGTGAAATTCTTATGAGAGAACGAAGTCGTATTTTAAAGTAATATGTGTGAGTTGATTGTTATTTTATTTAACATTATTCATCTTGCTTGGAAACTAACTTTATTTTCTGGATTTATTCAGTGTTATACATGTTGAGTGAAATAATCCTTTTGTGACACATGTGCAGTGTTAAAATCTAAATATATGTGGCTTTTCACAATGGAAATTATATAATACATATAACCGTATTAAAAGAAAGCAACTTGTTTTCTAAACTGAACTCATCATGAGAGGGGTTAATAATTTAATACAATGATGTCAAGTAAGAAGAATGGAATATTTAGGAAGGCTTGGAAACGTTCTGTCTCCCAAGAATATTCTACAAATATCAGCACACATGGACATGAACATAGTTGTAAGAAACTGAGTGACCAGTGATGACATTCATGCCATTGTATATTTAAAGATTTTATTTTGGATTCTTAAAAAATTACGAAGACATAACAGAATGAATTGCCTAATCCAGTAAATGACGTTAATGAGTTTTCACTTACCTTGGCAACAGTGTTGGTAACATCATTTTGTGCAGCCAATGTGTAGCTGACAGCCAAGGGCAGCAATTTCTTCACCCGACGAAGGCAAACAGTCCACCTGAAAAACACATTTGTAGTTTACATACATGATCAATCCTCCATATGGTAGCAGTTAACTATTACATTGCACAGAACTGTGGCTATATGGACTTACAGGAATGTAAGAGTTCACTTTTCCTGCAACCCCACATTAGTCACCATATATGTGTCACAATGATGTATGTGTATCTGTCCAAGAGATCTGAAATTTTATTAACCAAGCAAGGAGCCAGAATAGCTTAGTCACTGTGATGACATCCACTCCCCCATACACCTTCATGGCATAGTGCTTAAATTCGTTGAGCACAAGGACAACTTTACCTTTTACATTCCCTACAGTATGGACAATCGTACTTTGTAAGATGAGGCACTGACTAATATTATAATTTACTTTACTACATCTACATTATGAGCCTCATACACAATTTTATATACGCATAGTTAGTTAGTTAGTTAGTTATTGGAGAGGGTGGGTTTCCCCGTGCACTTAGACCTGTAGTGGTCCATTGTGCTTCCCTCTATGATTTCTACCAGTCTCTATATCCTACCGTTATTGGTGCTTACCATGAGTCCCGCCCAGCCAGCGAGACCGGCTCTACTAGCTGAGAGGTATCTATAATGCTTCCCCCACCTACCAGGGGTATTAGTGACTGCTGTTGGGCGGGAAACGTCCGCAATTTTGGCTCAGTGACCTCCTTTGGAGGTATGAGGTTCTTTTACGTGCCGTAAAGCTACGACACGGGACCCACGGCTTAAAGTCCCTCCCGGAAGACTTGTTCCCTGAATTTTTCCGCCCTTAAAAAT